CAGGAGACCCCCGGTTGGGTGCTTTTCATCGCAGCCAAAATATTGAGATGTGGTTGACAAGCCAACCCCGCAGTCTGGCTCTCGAGGCTAAGGCCACAAGCAGAGGGAAGAATTTAAACTGAATTGGAACCCGCAGCCCTCACAACACATTTGGGGCAGGTGTAACAGTGCACACCTGCTGGACAACCACGCAGCGATGGCGTAGGCGCTTGTGTTGAGGATCCAGTTGGGGGATCACACCTGTCAAGCACAAGGGGTTGAGGTGAGATTCAAGTCAGGTTGGGAGTTTATCAACGCACTCACAGATGTACCGGTTTGGGTGGGGCACATGCACGTGCGCTGAGGCGCAGAGGCTCAGAAGCCCAAACGTCATCCCGGATCAGGATGGTGGGGGCAGGAGGCCCCCGTGTGGGCGGCTTCATCACAGCCAGTTGCAGCACCGTTGTACACTCACAACCCAAACAAGTAAGACTATGTGCCACAGCGGCGCCTGTATGGCTCAGCAGCCCTGTTCTCATCCCAGGTCAGGGTGTTGGGGGCAGGATGCCCCCGATTGGGCGAGAGGCTCATCAGCGCCAAAGCACACCCACACACACATAAGAGAATGATGCTTGCAAGGCTCGGAAACCCAATTGTCCCCTCAAGAGGAGATGAAGGGGCAGGAGACCCCCGTCTGGGTGATGGGTCGTCACAGCCGGCAAGCAGATGGACTAAACAATGGCTCAGAAGCCCAATTGTCATCCCAAATCAGGATGGTGGGGGCAGGAGGCCCCCAGGTGGGCAGGTTCGTCACAGCCAAACACAAATCGCAGAAAATCAAGGCTCAGCAGCCCGGGTGTTCCCATGACAGGGATGATGGGGCCAGGAGACCCCTGGTGGGCAGAGGCTCGTCATGGCCAAAAAAACACAACTTGAGTTACATACATACACACACACATGCCCTTCGTATTCGCAAGTCAGGCCCGCGGTGCGCTCAGTGGAAAGAGAAGTCGTTTTTTGTTGAGGTTATAATCACGGTGATCATAAACAGCCTCTAAGGTATCGTCACTGCGCACATTACTGTGTGGGACCGTTGCAGTCAGCAACCGACACGACCGTGTGGTCAAACCGCATACTTGTTTGCACTCACCTTAATTACTGGAGACAGTGGGGTCCAGTGGGCAGAGGGCGATGCGTAGATTCAGGCCCCACGATGACATCTGGTGACGAGCGCGGTAGGGATGGAGGGGAAAGCAGGAGCGCTATTGAAGCGGGCCGAGTGCTTTGTGTGGCGTGGGTGTGATGGGGGTGTGTTCGCATACGATTGTGATGGAATGCGAATGCTCTTGACAGAGGGAGTGTCCGGTCCAATCGTCCCAGGGCAGCACTAGGGAGAAGCTGCCGCAGGATAGCGAGTACCGGGTCAACAGCCGCCGGCGCCGCCTCTTCCAAAAGCGACGCCGACGGCCTCATAGCTTTCGCTTCTGGGAACGGGCCCCACGGCACCACACAGGCCGCGGGACCAACTTTTTAGAAGCGTTGCCCATTCTGGCGCCACACGCTTCAAGGGTGCCCGAAAACACAAACACAAAACAAACAACAAAACAACGACAACACACACACACGCAAGCGTCAACGCGCTCACACGCAGCGTCGTGCCAAAGCACGTGCACGTGCAACGACCGCAACCACCGCTGGGGTCAGTCAGCCAAGGGATATGTTCTCAACGGCCGTAGGCCTCATCAACTCTAGTCCATATACCGTTGTGTCATCACTCCCAGCGGTGCGGGTGCATGGGGCGCATGGACAGGCCGTCACGCCGCAACAAGAATGTTAGAGGGGACCGCTCTCAGGCTCACCTTGGCCTGGGTGCCAGAGCAGCTTCAGGTGTGAAGGGCTTCCCAGCAGGCACCACAGCCGTCAGGTGGTCGCTGCGCGTGGGCTCCACGGCAGCGCAGGGTCGCCTTGAGGGACATGGGTAATGCGAAGAGTGGTCGTGCGCTGCAGGTGGCGTCCTCTGAGTGGGAGGAACGGTAAAGGATGGGGGGACGGGGTGGAATGAGTTGGGGTGGTGGCTTCCGGAATGGCGGCGGCGGCCGCCGCAGGCTGGCGGCTCGCGGCGGTGAGAGGAAGGGTCAGATAGTACTGGCTTGATGCGGCTGTTGAGGTCCGCAACAAAAAAGTCTCCGAATCAGCGTCGATCATACGGGGAAAGTCTGCATCACCCCCTTCCACACTGCCCCATTGCGGCCGCAGCAGCAAGGCAGGTGCAGCGGCGGCTGTCGCCGCCGCTGAGTGCACCCCCGCTCAACGAGACACGGCGCTGATCGCCACAGAACACTTTGCCACACAGCACGCACATCTCACACAAGGTGTCCGAGGAAATCATGCAAAAGGAGCCGCCACCCCGGCCGAAAGATCGTTTGGCGGGCACGAGGGCACGGCCTTGTCGACCATGGCAATAATGATTGAAACGATCAGCGCGCTGCAGTCTCAAACAACGCCATGCACAGGAGCTCACCCTTGGTTTGAGGCAGCCCGGTGTCGCCACACGCCCTGAGCTTCATCGATGGTGCAGATCCTTGGACTGAAGTTTGGATGAGGGCAGCTGGGGCCAGCTGCGCCTGCCCACAGCGCCGCCGGGAGTGTGATCAAGGCATTGTTGCTCTTGCGCAGCTGAACAGCTGCTTCGGCGCTGTACAGGCGCTCATAGAATATGACTGGTACCCCAACGACATGACGTATATAGGAAAAGTTGTAAAAGCGCGTAGGCAGGGAGATCGGTTTGTGTCACTGGGTGACAGGAGGTGTGACAGGGTGCTGGCGTGTTTGATCTTACGGTATAGGCTGATATGCAGTGTCATGTGTGTAATGACGACTCACATGCACACTTTCGGGTGCGGTTAGCCTGTGATCACTTTTCAACATCCAAACTCTGCAAGGCAGGGCTTGCGTTGCAAAGTCGGCCTGAGCGGTACTATAGTCATTGATCATATCTGCTGCACAGTATGGCAGCATCGCACACGCGGCAACAGGCCTGATTTGTCACGGGCTGCCCACGGGCGGCGGTCGACATCGCGCACCGAGCGCAGCTGCTTTGCCGCGGCCCCGCTGACTTCAGCGCTCAGCGCCACCAGAACAACGCCCGCCGCCACGCCCTTGAGGTTCCTGCCACTCGGACCGTGGTGGCGGGGCGCGGAGGTGCGAGGGCCCCAGGCGTCGAGGCTACCGAGCAGGGCAGCAGCCCGGGCGGAGCGGAGTAGATTGGCGCACAGCTCATCGGCGCCGCCGGGATGGCGGCCAGCAAGAAGAAAGTAGCCTACTTTTACGATGGTAATTCCACGCGCGCACGCATCACCTATGCCTGCGGCTGCAGCTGCAGCACATCACAGCGAAGCCACGCTTTCCACCGCCGACCCCGGCCCCCGTCCCCGGCGCGCGCCCCTGCTCATCGCCCACGCGCGGTGGCGCGCAGCGCCAGGGGCGCGGCTGGCCGCTCGTGCGCCCCCACTAAACGCCCCTGCCCCCCTGCCGCGTCCTCTGGTGGCCCTGGCTCTCCCAACCCCTCCTGATTTCTGACCTGGTCGCACCATCCCCACCCCCGCCCAAATCCGCCCAGGGGAATTTGCTCAGTTCTACTTTGGCCAGAACCACCCCATGAAGCCGCACCGCCTGGCGATGACTCACCAGCTGGTGCTGGGCTACGGGCTCCACAAGCACATGGAGGTCCATGTGAGTGGCAGTTGAGGGGGCGCTTATTACGGTCACAACCACAGTCGTGGGCGGCGGTGACAGGGACAGCAAATTGCAGCAATTAGCGATTGTTCGCGCACTTGTGGCGGCTGCAAATGATGCCAGCCGCACACCACAACGTTGGTTGCTCTGGGGTTATGTTGTGCAGCCTGCGATGAGCTGAGTGGGCGCACGGCAGCTGCCGGGTGTGGCACACCCGCAAGGGCGCGACGGACCCCCGCCACAGAGCGCAACGCAGCAGCGGGGGTGGGCACTGCCGCCGCTGCTCCTGCTCACGCCCTGCGCTCGCTTCTCGCCCCTCCCTGTATATACACAACCCTGGCTCACACGCGCCACGTCTGGAGCAGTGTCCTCCAGACCCTTTCAGGCGCCCGCGCTCAAACACACACACACACACACACACACACACACACACACATATACACAGACAACACACAGCTGCCCCCTGCTGTCCCGACCACCCACCCTCTGCCAACAAAACACCCCCCTCCCTGCTCCCCAGCGCGTGGCCAAGGCGTACCCCCACGAGCTCGCCCAGTTCCACACCCAGGCCTACGTGGACTTCCTCTCGCGCATCACGCCCACAAACGCACACCAGCACCCACAGGTGCGTGCTTTCGCTCCGTACGCACGCGCGATTCGCGGTGCCGCTCGCGGGTCGGCACGACTGCGCTCGCCGCTCGCTGCCGCCGGGCCGGGCCCGAACGGCCCTCCACCACGATTCCGTGACTTCTCTTGTGCACCTTCTGGACGGATTGGCTCGGCATTTTTGCTGCAATGATTGGCGCTGCGCGGCAGCGTGCCGCAGCCGTGGCACCTGGCGCGTAGGATGAGCCTCGCGATGGTCGGTCGGCCCTCCGCGACGCCGACGGCCGCCGCCCTTTGCAGGAGATGCGGGACCACAACTTCAACGAGGACTGCCCCGTGTTTGGCGGCCTGTTCGACTTCTGCAGGCGCGCCCTGACGGGGGCGGGGCGGCGGACCCGCCCCGAAGGGGGGGGGGGCAGGGGTGGGGAGCGCTCGTCCACGCGGCAGGCTTCTCAATTTCGCGGCTGAGTCGCTTGCTGTCCGCGGCATGGGTTGATGTGACCGTTTGGCACGGCTCGTCCGCCACCCCTGCTCCCGCCCTTGCCCCAGGCTGTATGCAGGCGCGTCCATCCAGGGCGCCGCGCGGCTGAACAACGGTCTGGCCGACATCGCCATCAACTGGGGGGGCGGGCTGCACCACGCCAAGAAGAGCGAGGTGGGGATGGCGGGGATCTGGGGGAGGGGCATGGCGTGCGTAGTGTGTGTGTATGTATGTATGTATGTATGTATGTATGTATGTATGTATGTATGTATGTATGTATGTATGTATGTATGTATGTATGTATGTATGTATGTATGTATGTATGTATGTATGTATGTATGTATGTATGTATGTATGTATGTATGTATGTATGTGCCACGTGCTGGCATCCGTCCCATGCCGCCACTCGGTCAAGCTTGTCTGACTGACCACTCCTCCTCCTCATGCACAATTGTACCCGCAAACGCGTGCGCGCGCCCACGCCCATCCCCAGGCGTCAGGGTTCTGCTACGTGAATGACCTGGTGCTGGGCATACTGGAGCTGCTCAAGCGGCACGCGCGGTGAGAGGACAGGCCAGGGGAGCCCAGGGGGGGTTGCCTCAGGCGGCGCACCCATGGGGATGCAGCCAGGAGTGCGGGTAGGGCCGCGCCGGCCTTGTGGCAGGCCGCCTCGCCTCAAACCCTGCCTTTTGTGTTGGGGAGCGGCGGCGCGCGCGCATTACGCCTTGGGACGCTCCCAACCGCTTCCTGGGAGCAGAGTGTGGGAGTGTCTTTAGGCAGCAGTGCAGGTTCCCTCGTGGCTCACTGGGAAATGCGCGCCGCCTGAAACACAGCTTCCGCTTCCTGCTCCCCTGTCTTGTTCCCTGTATTATGAGAGCCGACACATACGGACCCCACCCTGCACCACTTGCAACACTCTCCTCTTTTTGTTCGACCCGGCAATGTACTCCCCAACTCAAGTCCAAAACCTTGAGCTTGAGCAGTTATTCAACCCGCCCCTCACAACTGCCAACCCCACCCACCCCCCAGTGTGCTGTACATTGACATCGATGTCCACCATGGTGACGGCGTGGAGGAGGCATTTTACCTCACAGACAGGGTCATGACGGTGCGGGGG